TTTCCCATGTTAGGGAAGTTTTCGACTATAGTCTCTTAAAATATTTTCTGGGGTCCTTTCTCTGTCTCTTCTCCCTCTGGGACCCATATAATGCACATATTGTTGCGTTCAATGTTGTCCCAGAAGTGTCTTAGGCTGTCTTCATTTCTTTTCATTCTTTTTTCTTTATTCTGTTCTGCAGCAGTGAATTCCACCATTCTGTCTTCCAGGTTACTTATCCGTTCTTCTGCCTCATTTATTCTGCTATTGATTCCTTCTAGTGTATTTTTCATTTCAGTTATTGTATTGTTCATCTTTGTTTGTTTGTTCTTTAATTCTTCTAGGTCTTTTTAAACATTTCTTGCATCTTCTCGATCTTTGCCTCCATTCTATTTCTGAGGTCCTGGATCATCTTCACTATCATTATTTTGAATTCTTTTTCTGGAAGGTTGCCTATCTCCACTTCACTTAGTTGTTTTTCTGGCGTTTTATCTTGTTCCTTCATCTGGTACATAGCCCTCTGCCTTTTCATCTTGTCTATCTTTCTGTGAGTGTGGTTTTTGTTCCACAGGCTGCACAATTGTAGTTCTTCTTGCTTCTGCTATCTGCCCTCTGGTTCAAGGTAATTTTATTTAATTGCGAATAGTCTCTGTCACATGACCAGACAAGCAAAATTGTCAAGTACAGTATTGGTACCTGCGCTCCACCATCTTTCTCAATAGATAGATAGATAACATAGATACACACACATCCCTATTCTTGGGCTGTAGAGAGAGTGTAATCATTTAAATTAAAGCATTTTCCTTTTGTTAATCTGTCATCCTCAAATATCAACATCATTGTCCTAGTGCACTAAAGATATTTTATTATCCAAATAAACATGAACAATTAAAAGCTTTCTTTTAGCATATGAAATTTTTAAATCCTTTATTCAAAATAAAGAGCATATTTTTATTTTTAAAAATAGCAATTGCTTAAAATATTAATCAGCTAATCATTGTTTACTTTCACTTAGAGTCTGTTTCAATTCAGCAGAGTAATACTAGAGTATATATTCAAGGAAGTTTTTTATTACTTTTTCTCTTCATCTCAGTTCTCTTTTACAATGTCAGATACGATGTCACTGAAAGATAGACCTCTATCACAGTAGAGATGTAAAAATCTTCATTTATGTCTTCTTTGGACTTTAGTATAAATTACAATATAGTTAATGATTAGGATAGAGCATGGTATAGTATATAGTTAGTATAAAAATAATAGCATGTGATTAGTATTTGGTCAGCTGCATTATATACAATGTATGTATATCCCTTGAATAATAACCAGTTGTAGAAAAATATAATATTTTGTTTGAAAAAAGTACAACAGTAGTTATTTTATATTCATGTGTGTATGTTGAGTTCTTTGTTTCTCTTTGTTCCCAGTTGGGAACAGCTTTCACCTGAAAGTTTTCAGTTTAATTGGTCAGTATTTTTCATATGTACTGAATTATTTTTATACACCACTGGATATTAGATATAAATGGCTTAGAAAAACTAAAACAGTCATAACTGTACAGTCATAATTATATTGTTGTGTGAAATGTTTCTGTAATATAGTCTGCATCAATAGACTGTAGTGTTTGAAATCAACTGATTGAGCTATTACTCAATTGCCATATATAGAGTGTCTCTGCCTATCATATACCTGCTAGCCTGGGCACTAAGCACCTAGAGTCAGAACACAGGAAGTAGGGAAATTAAGTCATGCTTTCCAAAAGACATGTAGCACAAGAAATAGGATTTTATTTCACTCTTATGTTCCTTTTGTAAAAAACGCAGATGTACTTGGCATAAACTTGCTATAATGATGTGGAATTTGTTGACATAAATATATGGTAAGTATATTTTTTGGCATGAGATTAAAAGGTACCTATTACCAAAGGAAACATTTTTGGCTCTCTTATCCTTTACTACATTGTTCTCCAGTACTTCTCCTGTTGTCAAAGTTGGTTATTGCTTTGCCATTTTCTCATAATGTACATTATCTGACCATCATATATTTATGTATTGCAGAAAAAAATATTTAAGTGGTTCTAAAGATCTGTTACTAATTTTCTAGTTTGTAGGATTCTGAGTCATTTTCTTTTGTATGTGTCAGGTAATAATTATTTTACCAGTTTAGACATGTTCACCAATTTGTATCTTCAACTCACAGTTACATTTCAAGAAATCTCACAAATGCACTTTAAATAGTTTTCCCTTCATTGGCCCAATGCTAAATGGGGTTGAACTTAATTGACAAGAGCTTCCATTGATTTACTTATTTTTATCATGTTCATTGTTGCATTTCAAAAATAGAAGAATTGTCTTCTTTCTGGCTTTTTATGTAACATTATTTAGAATGTTTCATTGTCAGTTTTTCCCCAACTCCAAATCTTTTTTTTTCCACTTTTAATTTGAATTTAAGTAGCTAATTCTAGAACTCAACTTCATCTTTCATTTTCGTAGCATCTTTCACTTTTCTTTAAATGATTTATACAATGCCTAAATGTAATTGTTATTTCCTGTTTGTATGCTTTTTCCATTAAATCATTTATTTCTCTGTTTTTTCAAGTTTCAAAATGATTTTCTTTGAAGGAAGGTGTCTTTTGTACAGTGGAATGAAACTCTGTCTTTTTTTTTTTTTTAGTGAAAGAGCTGACACATACATTTTTTCTCCTATGTTAAGGTCTTTCTTTTTAAATTTTTTAATTTTTTTAACATCTTTTTTGGAGTATAATTGCTTTACAATGGTGTGTTAGTGTCTGCTTTATAACAAAGTGAATCAGTTATACATATATCCCCATATCTCCTCCCTCTTGAGTCTTCCTCCCACCCTCCCTATCTCACCCCTTTGCCTTTTAAAACCACAGCCCATTCTCTAGAAAGAGTAATAATAGGGGAGATAGAAAGCTAATTACTGCACTTGATAATGTTAGGCAAGTAAGAGACTGTCAGGTAAAAGAGTGCTTTATCTTTTAAGAGTTTTTTTTTTTTTTTTTTTTTTAAGGAAGAAAGACTATTAAGCAAGTTTCCTTTTCCCCCCAGTGCTTTCTGATTGTTGCGTGTTTTTCTGTGGGTGATGTTAAAGTTCATTTTTCCTGATCAACTTCAAGAAATTTTCTTCACCCTGCTCCTTTATAGGTATTCTTATCTGGTAATGCTGACCATCAACATACAAGATACCTATGGGCTGCACATACCTTTGTCTTCATCTTGGCTATGTTTTAGTATTATTATTTGTTCAAGGTATTCTGTTTTTAAAGCTGGTTTCTTATATAATGAAACTGCACAAAATTACTGTCTCTAAGAAATAACATTTTCTTCCACTGAGCACAAAAACATCTTTACACACATCTTTGACGTTTTCATGCAGTTCTTTCAAGAGGAACTAATGTTGATGACTTCCAGTATTTTAGCATCCGACTGCTTCTGTAGCTTTGGAAGTTAAAGGTTTTTTTGAATTTTTATTTTGTTAGTTTTTTGGTTTTTTTTTTTTTAATTCATGTTGTTGCATCTACTTCCTACGAGTTGCACCTGATTTTTTCCAATTCATTCATAAGGCTGCAGACATAGCATATTCTTTGTCATCATGGAAAAACTCTGCAGCTCTGGAGATGTTCAGTCGACACTGTGTGACAATTCTAGCAACATACTTCCTTTCTTCCCTTCCTAAGCTCTTAATTCATATTTATTCTTCAGTGCATACTAGGTGCTATGTCTCATGAAAGGGATGTAGATCATGAAAGGAATGTAAAAGATTGTCCATTCCCTTAAAGAAGTGCACAGTTCAATTGGGGGGATAAGGTGCCAACTTATTTAAAGGAATTTTTGAAAAAAATCAGAGAAGACTTCCTTTTCCTTGACAGGCTTCAAATCCAATATGTCCCTTAGTTGAGTCAGTGGGTGATAGTTAAGAATGCTCAAACATTCAGTAAGGATTTTCAGAAGATGTTTTGCAATCACTCAATGATCAGCTATTATCCTTTATTGGTGAGGCCTCTTTCTCTCTTTCAAGTGTTTAAATATACAATTCAAAGTAGAGATCCTTCCCACTCGCACTCAAAACAAATAGCACATGAGGGCAATTTTGTTTTATTTATATGTAGATATGATGGTTAATTTTATGTGTCAGTTTGGCTGCACCACGTGTCCAGATATTTGGCTAAACATTGTATCTGGTTGTGTAGGTAAAGGTGTTTCCAGATGAGATAGAAGAGATTAGCATATGAATTGATGGACTGATTAAATCAGATTGCCCTCCCCAAAGAGGGTAGACCTCAACCAATCCACTGAAGCCCTGGATAGAAAAAAAAGCAGAGAAAGGGAGAATTCACTCTCTCTGCCTGACTTCTTGTGATGAGACATCGATGTTCTTCTGCCCTCAGATTGGAATGTGTACCGTTGGCTCTCCTGGATCTCTAATTTGTGGAGGGACAATCATGGGACTTCTAGCCTCCATCATTCTGTGAGCCAATGTCTTATAATAAGTGTTTTTAAATGTATACATATATATCCCATATTGGTTCTGTTTCTCTGGAGAACCCTGATTAGTACAGTAGAAATACCAAAAATATAGTTTTTACATTTATGTAGAGAATATACATACATATTATTCCTCACAGTTTATTTACACATCAAATATATATAAATATTTTATTTTTATTGATAGACTATATGACACATTCTATGGTTAATATATAGAGCATATGCATGTTTGATATTTACATAAATATAATTATAAATATGCTCTGTATTTGTAGAATAAAATATTCTAATTTTGTAGACTATTTTAATATTATATATTTATAGAGCATAAGAACATATGAGTGAATTATATATATTAATATATATGTATAAAACATGCACACATATTCTAAACCCAGTGTTTTCCAAATTTTTCTGAAGATAAAAATTACTTAAAGTCATTTTTTTAAAAACATAAAAACACATTTCTGGATTCCAGTGCATACCTACTAAATCATAATTTCGAGAAATAAGGCCTGGTGATCTTCATATTTAATAATTACCGATGATGATTTTTATTAGAGAGATCAACAGCCAATGTACTCTAGTTGACACAGCTTGGCTTGCTGTTTTCAAGCACTTTGCCAGATGGCTACCACCCAGCTTTCCACGCTAATGTCCTATGACTCTCCTCATCTTTTTTGTAGCCACATAGCACAAGACCCCAACAGTATCCATGCTTTCAAGTCTTTCCACTTGATATTTCCTCTTCTTAGAATGGCCTCCCCTTTCTCTTTCTTCACCAGTCAAATTCTTCACAGTCTTTTAGACTCCACTGAAATATCAGCCTCTCTGGGAGACTTCCTTGAGTCTACAGTACAGAGTTTATGTTAATAAAAATAGTCAATAACTTTTTAAGTTGCTTTCATGGACTACATACCTAGCAAAACACTTTACTCACATTTCCTCATTAAGCTGCGTATCATGACCTCTATGCTTAGGTGTCTTTATTGTCCCTATTTTGCAAAGGGGGATAATGAGGCTTAGAGTAATTAGTTTACCAAGTTCACAGAGCTATAATGATACACACAGGATTCAAACTCAGGTCTAAGAGTTGCTGGAGTTTGTGCTCTTAACTCCCTACTTTGGGATGTTGTGAGACAGTAACTCAAATTTTGAAGAATGAGAGAGACTCATGTTGATGTCATTATTGACCAAAACTCATTTATTCACTCAATGTCTGATAAACTTATGTCATGGAACAAATATTATTCAGATATCAATATACTGTTTGCACATTATCTGGAGGGAAAATGAAAGACTTTGTTCTATACTTGCTCTGATACTATACTGTGACCTGAAGTGAGAATTACGAGGTGGAAACTGTCTCATAGTTTAAATGTTGAGCATTTGATGCTGCTGTCACTGCTGTAGTGTTAGGACTGTTCATCCTGAAACCAGTGAGACTTGGATCTAAATTCTACCTGTGCCACTCATTGCTTGTTTCAGACTATGACCAAGACAGTTAAAGTCTACCGAGTTCATTTTTATTCATCTGTATAATGGAATTAATCATTTATAACTAAGGTTGATTAATTTTTGTAATTTTTTTTAATTTTGGGAATTTAAAAATATATACATAATTAAAGAGAAAGATCTTATATATGGTTATCTACCCATGACCCAGTTTAAACAATGATCAATTCATTGTCAATTTTGTTTCTTTATATCTTTACAATTAGGGTTGGTTGAGGATTAGATTAAATAATTTTCTTAAGCACAGTGCCTGGCACATGATACGTACATAATCAATTTGAATTAATTTTGTTTTAAAGAAATGAACATCGAGTAGTATTTCATGGTCCATTTTTCAAACCTGTTTTCCATTTCCAGTCAAAAAATTTCACTTTGAAAATTAGAGAGAAGGAGTAGAAAGTAAAAAGTAGAAAGTAAAGTTTGGGTGTTTTCTGCTTTTTTTCTCCCTTTTAGTCAGATGCTAGAGTCAAAACAAGCTCAGGTACCCCACGTACAAGTGGCTTAAACTAAACAAAACCCATCTATCAGAACTAGAGGATTTTTCATATGGGTTCCCACGTGGCCTCTTTCCATGAGTTTCTGCTCTCTGTCCTCAGTTTCTCTGCCAGCACTCGTGGTGCTCCATACTTGGCTACTGCCCTCTTCTCCTCACACGCCTGGTGTAACCTCCAGCTCTTCTTACTGCTCCTCAGGACCTCTCTATGCAGTTGGTATCTATTTTTATTCTGCACCTCTATTGTGCCCTGAACTATAATGCCCTTGCAACCTGTGGTTTGATTTTTCTTTTTTCCTTATTTTCTCATAAATTGGACCCAAATCTCCAACAAAATCTTTCCAGCTATTTTTCATTTTCTCATCTGCTTTCTTGGTAACCAGTACTGAGAGCCCTACGTGAGAAACTGTCCCTTCTCTTAAACACAATTTCCTTTTTGTCTCTTATATATACTGTTCATGTTTGTAATGCACCAAAAGTTATAAAGAGTCAAACAGACAGAAGCCTTTTTTGTGAGTGGGTGCCAGAAGCATTTTGCTTGTACATGCATGGTGGATGTCCAAAGAGCATGCCAGGAGTTACTGAATCAGGACATGAAATTACTAAAAGGGGGAAAAAAAAGTAATTTGACTGCACTTAACCTTCTTCCCTGCATTATTATATTTCTCTACTTCATAAAGCGTTGGCATACATTTTATATACACACTCTGAGTATTGAAACGGTCTCAAAGCAGTGTCTCACACAATAGTGCGATGATGTTCTGTCCTTGTTGCACTCACATTTCTTATGCAATTATGTCCATTTTAGCTATTTATATAAAGAAATAACAAATGTGAATGAACCCTAAGCAAAATTTTGCAATAGGCTTTATCATCAACCTCTAACCACTCCTAACTCCTCTACATCCCCCAATTTTACCCCATTTGAGACACTTACTAAGCATTCATAAAGATTTCAGCATGTTCGAGTTATTTATCATCTTACCTCCAAACCCATCAAAACCTGAAATCAGAATAGACCTGATATCAGAGCCTTAGCTTTGGAATCAGTTACGTCTGACTACAACACCAAGCCCTGGCCATTGCTATTAGTATAACCCATAGTAATTTATTTATTTCCCACTATTTACCTTATTTAACATCCCTTATCATTTTCTTTTCCTTCTCTATAAATGGGGATAATAATAGTACCTGTTTCTCATAGACTGTTGTGAGGACTACATAAAATGTTATATTAGAAGTGCCAGGGCGTCCCTGGTGGCTCAGTGGTTAAGAATCCGCCTGCCAATGTAGGGGACACGGGTTTGAGCCCTGGTCCCAGAAGATCCCACATGACGCAGAGCAACTAAGCCCTGAACCACAACTACTGAAGCCCGCGCGCCTAGAGCCCGTGCTCCACAACAAAGAGGAGCCACTGCAATGAGAAATCTGCGCACCACAACAAAGAGTAGCCGCTGCTCGCTGCAACGAGAGAAAACCCACGCACAGCAATGAAGACCCAATGCAGCCAAAAATAAATAAAATAAAATAAAT